GAGGGAAAACCGACATCAATTTTACATGACTTCAGGTTTCCTTGGATCCATTTATTTGTCAAGTTTAGAATATATGGAAAAATATAATGAAGACTCATATATAATCTCACCCAGAGACAACTTGTGTTGAATGTTTTGCACATATACACAAGAATATACCTTTGTGAAATCCAATGTTAATTACACAGCTTCGTGTCCTGGCATTTTCTCTTCACACTGTGTGAAATGTTCATCAGATGATAACTGGGGCTAGCTGTAGATGAATCATAGCAAAGTGAGGGTTAGCTATTGGGACAGATGAACAAGGTGCATGGGGGTGATGCACAGGTCAGTGGACCGCACTTGAGCCTTGCAGAATGACAGGTTCATGTACGATGGCAGGTAGGGGCGGGGTTAAGGGCGTGCAAAGGCAGCATCCCAGCAAAGACAGTGATGCTGGGATCCAAAGCACAGAGCTGGCTGAGATCCAGAGGCAGAGCTGGGCCCAGGAGGACTTTGCCAGCTATCTCTGAGGGATGCTGATGCTGACGATCCACTAATGGGCTCTTAATGGGGAGAAACATCAGACTGGCATTTTAGAAAGATCACTCTCTCTATACACTTTTGCTATGGATTTGAATTGGAAGTAGGCAAGACAAGGCTGGGAGACTTTTAGAGCTGCCTGTGAGATATGGTTGAACCAGAACAGCAGCAACGAGGAGACAGATTCCCAAGAGATTCAAAAGATGCAAAGTCCAAGGGTTAGTAGCTTTGTCATGTCATTTATTTTGATCAATGAGATGTTTACAGCCATGCCTTAAGCAGGACTTTCTTTAAAAAAAAAGGGGGGGGCTGCCTTTTTATTTTTTTAAATAATTTTAATATTAAAAATACCTTGAATGGGGGGAGGAGATATAGCTCAGCCGATTGCTTGCCTAGGGTACAGGAAGCCACGGATTCTATTCCCATCGCAGCACTGTGCACTGCGCAGTGACACCCGCCTGTAATCCCAGCCCTTGGTAGGGAGAGGCAAGAGGATCAGAAGTTCAAGGTTATCTTTGGCTACACAGTGGATTCAGAAGCCAGACTGGGATACATCAGACCCGGCCAAACACAAAACTCTTCGAGGGACATATAGTAAATTTTCATATGTATACAGTATCATGCCTGAACACAAGGTATAATCAGATCAGAGTAATCGGAGCATCACCTGAAGCATGAGTCATTTTGAGAGCACTCAAACTCGATCCTCCCAACTCGTTATTTTGAGATGCACGATGAATTACAATCAACCATCGCTAACTTAATGTGCTCCGGAGCGTTAGAAGTTCCGCCTTATCTCCCGCTGAACCCCTGGACAAACACCAGGGCTCTCTCCTCCCCTCTTTCTTCCTCTTGGCCAGAGTGAAAAACACTTGTGCGGTTGGCCTGGCTTGTCCTCGGCCTTATGACTTATCACTTCCCAGGAGATAAGTGCTAGTTTACTGGGTCCAGGGGGACGGCGAGAAACTGATGGAGCATACTCACCCCAACTTAACCTCCCCAGCTGAGCTCAGAGCAGAGCCTCGGATGACTCACAGCCTCGTGTCTTAGGCCAGCTGAGATCTGACCCACAGGTGCCTGAGCTACAATAGGAATGACCAGTGATTTAGGATATGGTTTGGGGCTTTTGCTAACGATTGAGAATTACCATCATCTCTGTGCTGAATGCAGTCCTGTATTCACACTGTGGAGTGTCAATGAACCTGACACATAGGTCCGGACATCCACAAACTCGGGGTAACAAGGGGCCTCTCAATTCTAAATGGTTACTTGGTGGAGCCATTAATCAGGAAGGGTCAAAGTAGAGAAACTGGTTTTGGGGAAGATACTGGGTTTGATTTAGGAAAGAGCTTGAAGTGCCCACAGGGCACCAGGAGGAGGTGTCCAGGAAAGAGAAGGAATCCAGTTGGATTACTGAAGGAAGAGGTCTAAGCTGTGTTGACTAAGTGGGTAAGGTCTGGCTTGGAACTAAAAATAATCAATGGAATTTAGCAAAATAATTGGCATCAGATGGGTGGGCTGGTATGGAAATTCAGAGAAGAAAGAAGATTTTTGGCTGGGAGAGGAGAGGTTTGTTCTAAAGATCACCCAGACTCTGGGGCTGTGCTCATAGGGGTGAGAGAAGGCGTACCAAAGAGAATAAACAAGACTCAGACAGGGAGGCTTGAGTGGTTAGAATAAGAGGGAGGAGGTATATTTGGGGTCTTGAATGGCAGACCAAGGATGCTATCACGTTTCCTTAGGAAAACAGGGTAGAGGGGGAGCGTGGCTTACATGTTTCTGAGTGAGGAAGGGACAGGAGGCACACAGGTCTGTGCAGGAGGCTGAGTCTGAAGTGAAGATTGAGAACTGGCTCTTGTCTAAGTTCTTCTGTTTATGACCCTGGGGATGTGGGGCAGATGATGTTCCCTCCCAGGCTCATATACAAAACAGGAGTGAAACATCCGCCGTCCCCTCTCTTCCCATTCTCCTCCTCCTCTCCCCCTCTCCCCACCTATCTATCCTCTCTCAGATCTTTTGCAGCTCAGACTGGACAGGAACTCACTGTGTAGCTAAGGATGACCTTGAACTTCTGACCATCCTGCCTCTACTTCCCCCCCTCCCCCCCGTTTACAAAGGGTTGGAGAATAGGTGCAGGGCCTCTATGTGGTAGGCAAACTGATCTCCCCGCCCCTTCTAACTGTGTCGACAAAGGGTCTTGCTATGTCTCCCAGGCTGGCCTGGAACGTGCAATCTTCCCATCTCAGCTTTCCAAGGGCTAGAATTTCAGGCCCATGCCTCCACACTTGCCTTCATTTGAGTTCTAATTAAGAACAAGTTTTTTAAAAATATGATCAAGGCATAAGGGTGGGTAAGTATTATTGCAATGAGGCCTGCATAGCCAAAAGATGGTGCTGGAATTCTCAATCAGCTAGGCAAACCACAGGTGCCACCTTGGTAACCTCTGTCCTTTGTCCTACCTGGGAGAGAGGATTAATAGATGTGAAGCCGGATGTCCACAGGTAGCTGACACAACTTCTCATTCTTGATAAACTGTGAGTTCTTCCCCACTACCCTCTGCAGAAACAAGATGTGCTCCTTAGACTCTTACAGAAGAAAGGCATGGGGCCATAGCTGGCTGGCAGGACTGTGAAGCAGTCCCTCTCAAGGAGTTCCCTCAGAGAGTTAGAGAACAAGGGCTCGTTCATCAAAAGGTAAACAGACTGGCTTCTGATAATGGGCCTCCTGAGTGGTCCAGACCCTCTAAGACAGGGGGCTAGAAGAAAGTCAGAGGCCTAGGAGCCAGACACGGCTTTAGGGAAGCATGATGGGAGGAAGCTGGCCAGGCCTTGAAGACTGGCAGTGAGGTTTGAGAAAGCGAAAAAGGGCAAGCCAAATCCCATCTACTGTAGCAGTTAAAAATAAAACATGACCACAGTGATATCATAGTTAGGTATCTAGTTTAGGGTGGACATTACAGAGAAAAGAAAAACCAAATGTTGACAGTGATACAAAGAAACTGGGATTTGTATCTGTTCTGCTGAGGCTGTAAAATGTATCCAGCAGCAGCATGGTTCTTGAGGGCTTATTCTGCTATGGATTGTGTTTTGTATGCATGTGGACTACATGTGTGCCTGGTGCCCACGGAGGCCAGAGAAGAGTACCAGAGCCCCTAGGACTGGAGTCACAGACAGTTGACAGCCACTGTGTGGGTGCTGGGAATTAAACCTTAGTCTTCTGAAAGTGCTCTTGACCACAAGACATCTCTCTTACTCAGCACAGAGGTTCTTCAGAAAGGCTGCCACACGTTACCACGTAGCCTGGTGATTCCACTTCTAGGTATAGATCTAAAGAAGCTGGAAGCAGGTCTTGAATGGATGCTTATTCACCCATGTGTAACAACACTGTTCAAAAATGGAAGCCATCCAGGCATCTATGAACAGTGGAGAAACAGAATGTTCCAGCCAGTGGAATGCCTTCCATCTTTCAAAAGAAGGGGATTTGTTCTGATACAGGCTACAACCTGCATCAACCCGAAGGACACAACACTAAGTTGGATAAGTCAGCTACACGAGAAAAATGATGAGAGTTGTTGAATTTACAGAGCCTGAACCAAAGGCTGCCAGCAGCTGGAGGAAGGAGTGGGGTTTGGCATTTAACAATATTAGTTTTCTTCTCTTTTCTGAGACAAGGCTCAATGTAGCTCAGGCTGGCCCTTGAGTTTGCTCTGTAGCTGAAGATGACCTAATTCTCCTACCTCTACCTCTTTGGAACTACAAGCATATACCACCACACCCAGTTTGCATGGAGTTTGGCAAGCTCTACCAACTGGGCAACATTCCAGCCCTGGTGCAGAGATTCTGTTCGGGATATTAGAAGGGTTCTGGAAACCATAGCAACAATGATTGTGCAGCACTATGAACACTCTTAATGCTCTTGATTTGTACACTTAAAACTATAAAAATGGTGGTATATAGCTATAATATTGATATATACATATATATGAGAGAGAAACACATGAAAGAGACTCAAAAGTTGTTAGTGTTGTGTGTTTATGAGACAGACACACAGAGAGACAGATACAGAGAGAGAGAGAGAGAGAGAGAGAGAGAGAGAGAGAGTGTGTGTGTGTGTGTGTGTGTGTGTGTGTTAGGGAAAAAGCAGGAAGAGAAACAGGGTCCCGGATGTACCTGGTATGGATGAAGGCAGATGAATTTTCAACTGACTTCAGATAACCATGAATGTTATAGAGTTCAGTAAACATTCCCACATAGTCTTTGAGTAGAGTTTCTCAAAGGAAGCTAATGGACTAAGCTTTCTTCCTGTCTTTTCCCTGGCCTGCCTGATGGAGAACTGGGAACCGAGGTGACAGGGTAGAAGGTTGGGACCGTGGTTAGGTACTAAAGAGGATAGAGAAAGGTGAAAGCAGATTTGAGGGGGAGCAGGAGGCAGGGAACCGTGCAAGGTAGTTCCCCTCATCTGTCTCCCTGTATCCCCAGCAGGAAGCCCAAGCTGTCACCATGGCTTCTGCCGAGCCCCTTACAGCGCTGTCCCGTTGGTACCTGTACGCCATCCACGGCTACTTCTGCGAGGTGATGTTCACGGCGGCCTGGGAGTTCGTGGTGAATTTTAACTGGAAGTTCCCAGGGGTCACCAGCGTGTGGGCCCTCTTCATCTATGGCACCTCCATCCTGATAGTGGAGCGCATGTACCTGCGCCTGCGCGGCCGCTGTCCTCTGCTGGTGCGCTGCCTCATCTACACGCTCTGGACCTACCTGTGGGAGTTCACCACCGGCTTCATTCTGCGCCAGTTCAACGCCTGTCCCTGGGACTACTCCCAGTTCGACTTTGATTTCATGGGTCTCATCACCCTGGAGTACGCCGTGCCCTGGTTCTGTGGGGCCCTCATTATGGAACAGTTTATCATCCGCAACACCCTCCGCCTACGCTTTGACAAGGACGCAGAGCCCGGGGAGCCTGCTAGTCCGCCAGCCCTGGCCAATGGCCACGTCAAGACCGACTGAGTGAAAAGACGAATGTGAAGACCTAAGGTCTCTTCTAGGAACCCAAGGACAGAGACCAAGCTGGTGGGGTTATCTCTTGGTTCAGCACAAGCCCTGCCCCCAACGGGGCCTTAGCCCAGTAGGGCAAACGCAACCACATATGGTGGGCAGTGGGATGGTGTTGGGAAGTTGGGTGTTCAGACAGCAGAAGGACACTGGGACTGGTCCATGGCTCTCCACCCATCCTGGGGGCTAGGGCCTGGGCAATAAACAACTGGACTTCTTGGATGATTTTGGAAGCAGCAGGCCTGTCCTGGCGAAGGGACATGAACTCTGGGGCCACAGGTGAGAGGCAAGGTCTGAGGAGGCCTTGGCTGCCGTTGGGGCCACCACCCCACCTGCCCCCTGGCTTCAGCTGGGCTTTGGCTGGTCCCATTAGGCAATATTCAGGTGCTTGCTTGCAACCAATACCTCCCCGAGGGCCTCTGAGCTGCAGCCTGAGAGAGACCCAGCAGCCAGTAGGCTGCTTGGTGGCATTGCTCCTGTACAAGGGCTGGGAAAACTTCCTTTGGCCCCTCTCCCTCCCCCAGGGCCCCACGCTGCTCCCTTGGCCTTCTGGGGGCCCCTGTGGTGCTGGATTCCCACCAACCTTGGGCTTTTGGAGGTTTCAATCCCGTGTGTTCGGTGGTGTTTCCCCTTTCTCTTTTGTTCAGGACATTTACCACGAGCAGGCAGCGCTTTTCTGTGTCGTCACTGTATCCTCCCCCTCTCCCAGCTCCCTAGAGAACACGGCAGTGGCTGGAGGCACAGCTCTAAAATGGACCCCACCTGCCTTCCTGGAACCTTCCCTCCACCTTCATATGGGGGGCTGGGTGCAGCCCGGTGCCCCCTCCCAGCAGAAGTCCTACTGAAAATGCATAGTATCCCCCCACCCAATGTACATCTAGTGTTCTATAGATCCACTGTGGAGGGGCAGAGTTTTAGGTTCTAGATGCCCACTCTGGTTTATCTGCAAGCCAGTCAATATGGCTTCCTGTGAGACAGAGGAGCAGGGATCTAGTTGGAGACTCACGAGGAACAAGGCAGATGTAGAAGACCACGGAAGGCTCTTTGGAGCCTCTTCCTGGAAAAAGATGAGTTCTACCATAGCCTCAGCTCGGCAGCCACCTCTCGGAGCTGCTCCTCCTACAAACCCCTGGCCGGGATGACCCTTTGAGCTTGTTCCTCAAATAGTGTTAACCCTGCCACACTCGGGCATTGTCAGCTCCGTCGTCTTAGCTTTCCCCCATGCTGCTGGGTCCATTGCAGGCAGTGGACAGGTGAAATCCTTATTCCAGGTTCTCTGATTTTATCCTCTGCTCTTTGAAAGGATGAGGTCCATCCCACACAGCAGTCACCTCTTGGCCACCCTGGGGACTCTGAGATAGAAGTCGGCCTTTTCTTTCTTACAAATCATTTAAAAGGTGGCAGTGCCACATGGAGAGAGAGTCTCTGAAGCATGCAGACAGCAGCGGGCCAGGGCCAGCAGCGGGACGTCCTGCCGCTGGAGAAAGACTCAGCCTTCCATGGCATCTTTCCCCACGGCTTTCTCTGGCCAGGGCAGATTGAAGTGTTTCCCTGAGTAGGTATCTCATCACCAAACACCATTCTGGGGTGTGGGACGGGCTGCTTTTTGTTTTACTGTAGCCCTGATTCCATGGCCCTGTGGGTTACAGGAGTCCAGGCTTCCAAAGGGAGTGGCTGCTTTCCATCCACAAATGGAGAGAATTCCTTATTGTGTAGGTCCCTTCCTCCAGTTCCATGTTATCTCAAACCCCTGAATCCTAACGCCTCTCCAGGCCACCTCACGCCCACCTTCACAACTGAATCCAGTGGCTTGCTGAGGTGTCCCAGCAGTAAGACTCCAATTTTTAACCAGAGAAAGCCACTGGGTGGCCCCCGGTCTCAGCACTCCAGATGTCGCCTGGCAGGCAACCCTCCGACACCATTTTTCTCAAGGCCCTTTAATCCTATGTCAGGACGGTTTCCTGGAGCGAAGCTGCTTGCCTGGAAATACTCAGCATCGTGGTCTGCTTATGCGGGTCCCCCCAGCCCCCTTCTCCTATGGTCCCTCATAGGCACACAGTCCCCCCAGCCAGGGGAAGCTACACATAAGGCCTGACCACAGGCCTGCAGGCTCAGATCTCACCAAGTGTAGCCCAGACTTCAGCTCTTGCTTTATTGCCTGTCTTCATGGCTCCAACCCCTTAGTGCTTGGGAGGCACAAAGGTTGGGGTAATCAAGCCCTTCTGAGCAGTGAGGAGTCTGCTGGCTGTTTCTGGAGCCCAAGGCAGCCATCTCAGAGGTGCAGATGTCATGAGTATGCGGCCCTGCATGGTTGAGTTGCTTTGGATGAACGCTAGGCTCCCAGTGCCCTGTCCCCTTCTCATGCCAGAGAGTCACAATGGCCTGTGCTTATTCACAGCAATAATACATAGGGAGTGTCTGTGAGTCCCTTTTGTTCTGGTCCTTCCTTCTTCATGGACCGATCTCCCAGGAGGCTGCTGAGTGGGTCAGCTCACAGGAGAATTTATTTCTGAAGCTCTGGGCTGTGTGAAGCCTTGCTGCAGGAGGCAGGTGGGAGGCCTAGCCATGAACTCTGAATCAGGCAGATGGAGTGCCTTCCACCCTGAGGCCATCCATTCCTGGACGAACTGTAGGCCCCGGCTTTGGAACAGGGCCTTTGAAGTGGATAGGACTGTTTTCCAACTGGACAGCTCTTGAGAAAGGCACATAGCTGATTGTGTGAGCCCATTGCCTGCTATGTCTGTTTGTCTGTCTTTTCCTTTTCATAATTGTGCACATAAAATATACTGGTGTTTGTTCCTGGATTGCCGGTGACTCATCTATTCCACTCTGGGGCCCTTTTCCCAGGTGCTAATGGAGGGTGGGCCCTTCATGCTTGACATTTTATATACATCACACCTTCCTGAACCAGAACAGCTGGTGTCAAGGAGGGTGTGGCCCTGCTGTCAGCCCTGACCCTCTCTAGAAACCAGAATCCACCCCAGTGCTGCCTGGCTCTTGCAGCCCCAGGCCAAAGGTAAATATGGAGTCATGGCAGCATACGGGTTGCCTATACCTGTCCATGAGATCAGAAGTTCTTAGACATACTGACAATAACCCAGTATGTTCCATAATTAGAGAAGGCTTGGAGATACTCTAAAAAAGGCTAATGGGCCAGACCCCTTTTGTACAACATGAAAGCTATACTTGAAGAAACAGCCCCTTACTTCTCCCTAGCCATGCCATGTGCCTTGAGAAAGGCCGTGGGAGGAAACATCCCTTCCCTACTTCGCGTACCTTGGCTCTGTTTAACTCCTCTGCCCCACCCCTGACTACTTTCCTGATTCCAGAAAGAAAATGGAGGGCTTTGAAGTTGCTCAGACCTGGTCTACAGTGCCAGTTCTAGGACAGCCAGGTCTATGTAAAGAGAGACCCTGTCTCAAAAGCAAAATTATTCAGGCTGGGCTGCTAAACCCAAATGGCTTGGCCCCTGAGGCTTAGCGAGGCCACAGAGCATGGCAGTGTGGCCTTTGAAGTCTCTGAGAAGGCCCTTTGCTCTTACCATACACACATACTCATCCTCTTGAAAGTTTTTTATTTCTTTGAGAATTCATCTCCTTATAAAATTGAGCTTGCATAAAGCACTGTAGCAGAAATATGCACGTTAGTATAAACAAACCTGTTAGGTTGGTCTTTCAGAGTAAGATCTTGTAGAAAAAGGCAGGCAATGGAAGTCTTAATGGAGCCTTAGGGAAAAAGGCAAGACCTGCACTGAGAGGACCCAAGACTTATTCTTAAGTCTTATTCTTATACTCAATGAATGGCTTTGTTTCCCTGTTATCCCCTAACGTATGTATGAGCAGGTGCAGGTGCATGTGTGTGCAGGAATATGGAGGCCAGAAGGCAATCTCAGGTGTCTCTCCTCAGGGATGTTGTCTACCTCCTTTGAGACAGGGTTGTTCATTGTCCTGGGACTCACTGGTTAGAATAGAATAGAATAGAATAGAATAGAATAGAATAGAATAGAATAAATTGAATGAATGGATTGAAATTTATGCCCTGGCAATGCTGAAGCATGCATGAGCAGCGCATATATGGCGGTTCTGTTGAACTTGTCCATATTGAGTTTCATGGTCTAAGTTGATGAGGATGACTGACCAGGTCTCTTCCTCAACAGGGCACCAGATTTCATTACAGATGGTTGTGAGCCACCATGTGGTTGCTGCGAATTAACTCAGGACCTTTCGAAGTGCATTGCTTAACCGCTGAGCAATAGACCAGATGGGCTAGCCAGCAAATCCCAGGAACCCTCCTGTCTCTGCCTCCCCAGCCCTGGGACTACAAGAGGTGCATCACCACATCAGAACGTTTTTATGTGGAGCCCAAAGTCAAGGCTTCATAAGCCTGTTAAACAAGTGCTTTGCTAACAACCCGCTTGCCCCCCCCCCAGGCCAGGGGTCTTCTTTTCTCCCCAACCTTTGCAAAAACCCGATGTTTAACAATAGTGAAGTAAGTACTAGAATGGAGTTTCCCTGCCTAAGCAGCTTTCTCACTGTGCATGTCTGCCTTCTGTACTGGCAGAACCGAAAGACGAGATGAGTCCCTTCTTTGGGAAGGCGATAGAGGAAGATGGAGTCGCTGGTCAAAGGGTAGAGGAACTGGGTCTCATTTAACTGCAGCTGTGGCTCCTAGTGGCGCCTGCGACACCGCAGCCAGGCACCATTTTCTCATTTTCTCCCCTTTCAGATGGGCACCGTCATGTCCCTGTTTTACACGGGAGGACTGTTGACATCCGGGCAACCTTGGGTTCACCGCATTTTTGTTGTTGTTTAATTTGTTTTGTTTTTTTGTTTTGTTTGTTTTTAGAGATGGGTCTTCTCTTTGCAGCCCTGGCTTTCTGGGAGCTTGCCGTGTAGACCAGGCTAGCCTAGATTCCAAGTGCTGAGATTAAAGCTGTGCACCACCACACCTGGCCTGGATTCGCTACCTACCACATTTCTCTCCAAAGCCCTCGGCCCCTCTTTCTGAGACAGCATGTCATTATATTGCCCACACTGGCCTAAACTCCTAGGCCTAAGCACTCCTGTCTCGGCTGACAACAGACACATGGCAAGGCTCCCAGCTTTGTGACTCTTGCTCTGACAGATCTTTCAAGGAGGATTTGTGAGGAGTCAGGTGCCCTTTGGTGCTGAGGACTCCGGATGCCTTGAGTTCATCTCCTGCGAATGCTGTTTACAAAGCTAAACAGTAATATTTGTGAGTAGCAGGATAGGGGCCTCCAGGGGGCCATAATGTAGGCAGTGTGGAATGCCATCTTAGCCAAGACAAGTGGCCAGAGCCCCTCCTAGTGGAGGAGGTGGTGAAATTTTGGCCTCTGGTATGCTAGATTTATCCCTGACACCCACTCTGTCCCTCCTACACAGTTTTATTTTTGTCCCAGGCTTTTCTCAATGATCCTATTTTCAACTTGAAGGGAAGGCTGGGCCTCTGGCTGTTTGTACTCTCGGAGGGCTTGACACTACCAGATGAGAGTTCTTCATGGCGCGCCAAAAACCCTCTGCCAGGCCCTTCTGCAAACTCAGGCCAGAGGACTCACCCTTTTAGCGCTTCAACTCCATGTTGGACACCTCCAAGAGTAGGGACCAGGCAAGAGACAATGATGGGTGACCCGGGAGGAAGATGTTGATGGGGACCCCATTCAGTTGTGCCGTTGTACCACTGACTGTTTCTCCTTGGGGGAATTGCCGACAGAGACCCTGCCTGTCTGCAGGGACAGGTAAGGGTACCCAGGAAGAACACAGGCTGTCCTGACGGCCATTCTTTCATGCTTTCAGAGATGTGCTGGCTTTTCACTGTACCGAAAACACAAATGTTTTCTATGCCTGGCCAATCTCAGCGGAATATGGAGAGCGAGGCCAGAACACAGTGAGTGCTTTAGGGTCCTCTTGATGAATGGCTTTTCTTTTCATTTTATTTTCTTCAAACACAGTCTAATGCTGTAACCAAGGCTATGCTGGAACTCACTATGTAGCCTAAAACTTACAGTGAGCCTCCTGCCTCAGCATCCCTAACGCTGGTATTACAAGAATGAGCCACCAACTTGACCAACTAATAAGTGATATTTGCGTTCCAGAGTATCATACGCTCTTCTGGGGACCCAAAACTAGGAATTCTGTTCAGACAACTGTCCCAGTCGTTGTCTGTGCCCACCATGACGAAGCAACAAACAGACCTGCTGGTCCCTGAGCCTTGCCAGCATCCTCTTGGAGCTTTCATGCCTAGCCAAAGTCCCACTCTGTTGTTTCACCCATTGGTTCATTCTGGCCGTATGTTATCTTGATATTGGTGGAGAAAAAAAAGACATTTTAGAGTCTAATAGCATACAGAAGAAAACACATTGAGGATGTAGCCTTTGCCTCTGCTGTAATCACACCTCTGAACAGGAAGTTTTCTGGTTTATAAGTATCCACCATATGGTGAAGATTAAGTTTTATTTTAGCTCACCGTTTTGAAGAGTTCAATCCATTACCATTACTCCCTTGCTTTTGGCCTAAGACAGCATAGACCATCATGCAAGGGTGCTCGCCAGAGGAGGCCTGTTGTCCCCATGGCCAGGTACAAAGGAGAAAAAGGGTCAGGTCCTCAAGACCCCCTTCATAAGTACATCCCAGTAACTAACTAGGTCCCACCTATCAAAGATTCGTCTCTTCCCAATACTGCCGCTGACTGCAGATCTTTACTACACAGACCTATGAGGGAGACACATCTAAAACATATCAGGAAAAAGAAGCAGGGTCTTTCCCAGAGGATCCTTCCAAAGGAGTGGGACCAAGTAAGAGAAGACTACAGGGAGACCCTAGAAGTCTTCGTGCCCTTAGGACCTCCCTGCCCGCTCAGAGACTGGGTCATGGATTGAGGTCAGCAGGCCTGAAAGGTAGACCTTCCAGGCATCAGCAACCCTTTATTTCCCAGATATGTGAGCACCCCTGCTCTGGGAGAGACAGCACCTGTGGGTTTTGAGGGGCTGTGAATCCTCAAACATATCTGCCCCACCTGAATTTTTATACAACAGCCACTGAGACCACCCCTAAGTCATCCATCTAAGTGCTCAGATCCCATCCCTCCTGTGGAGTATCGGGGCAACAGAAGGGCAGGAGTGGCAGATAGCACATGTGTTAAGCCAGGCAGACTTTAGTTCTAACCTCTGTTTCTGACACTTACCATTGGTATGGCATTTTGTGGTGATTTAAATAAGAATGGCCCCAGAGAAAAGATCTTCACCAACCCCACAGAGGTCTGATCTCCAAAATATACAAAGAACTCAAGATATTGATCATCAAAAGAACAAATAATCCAATAAAAAATGGAATACAGACATAAACAGATAACTCTTAACAGAGGAATCTAAAATGCTGAAAGACACTTAAGGAAATGCTCAAAATCCTTACTCATCAGAGAAATGCAAATCAAAACAATTTCCATCCTACACTTGTAAGAATGGCCAAGATCAAAACACTGATGACAACTTATGCTGGAGAGGTTGTGGGGAAAAGGGAACACTTCTGCATTGCTGGTGGGAGTGCAAGCTGGTACAGTCCCTTTGGATGTCAGTGTGGCGATTTCTCAGAAAATTAGGAAACAACCTTCCTCAAGACCCAGCAATATCACTTTTGGGTATATATCCAAAGGATGCTCAACCGTGCCACGAGGACATGTGCTCAACTCTGTTCATAGCAGCATTGTTTGTCATAGCCAGAACCTGGAAACAACCTAAATGCCCCTCAACCAAAGAATGGATAAGGAAAATGTGGTATATTTACACAAT